CACATCTATACCGTCAAACAACCACATCCACATCCATACATTCAAACATCCACATCCACATCCATACCTTTAAACAACCACATCCACATCCATACCTTTAAACAACCACATCCATACTGTCAAACAATTTCATCCACATCCATACCTTCAAACATCCACATCCATGGAAACCTGACACTGTCGTGCATGCAAGTAAACAAATATCAAAGAGAAAACTTATCTTAAGACATCTACCAATTACCTCTTTCATATAGATCAGATATCTTCGTGTCAAGAGGTCAAATATCTTAATTAAAAGAAATAAATTACCTAATTAATAGAGGTCAAATATCTCCTTCCATAAAGATCTAATTACACCGATCACGAAGTTCCAATATGTCAACCTATTTCAACATGAAGTTTCATTTAGATCACAAAGTCTAAGAACTCGAGTTCTTGAGTACCAAGATGCCTCAAAGCTAATTTTTTTAACTACCGGTGGTTGAGACAGTTATTACAAGAATTTAGATGCAATTAAAGTGTTTTTTGAGAAAGAAAAGGGAAGCCATTTCGGTTTTAAGATCTCAAAAAAATTGTTTTTAAATTTAATGTTGTTCAAATTACTGTCAGTGTAAATGGTCCAAGGTTGTTGGATAGTTTACCGATTTTTATTTGGTTGTTGTGGTGGTGATTTATTTAATGAGGGGGGGGGGGTGTTTGAGGGGTGTTTGGTGTGAATGTGGTGATGTGATGATGGTGATGAGGAGGTGTGATGGTGTTTTTTTTTTGGGGGGGAGGTGACGGCGGATGAGGGGAGGGGGGTTGGTGTGGTGTACGGTGCTTTGTTTGGTGAGTGGTGTGATGATTGTGTGTTAAATGGGTGATGTGATGGTGGTGTGTTTGAAGGGAGGTGTGATGGTGATGTATTTGATGGGGAGGTGCCGGTGGAGGGTTTGGTGGGGGGTGTACGGTGATGTGTTTGGTGGGGGGGGGGAGTGGGGGTGATGTGTTTAAAATTGAAAGATGTCGTGAAGAAGTATTTGCAATAGAAAAAAAACTGTTTAAGATAATTTTTTCTAGAAAAAAAAATGAGATGATGTAAAATTGTGTGTCGTGGATACGTCACAACTACCGGAAATACGCCCCCTATGTTTGCCGCGGGTAAGATAAAAAATAAATACAAATTTGGATCGTAAGGAAAGCGAGAGGCCAAGTGTTGTAGAGGGGTGGGGGCGTGGCATTGAAAAGTGATAAGTAAATTATGTAAACTGTGAGAATTTATAATTTGATTTAAAGTTGAGGTTTGGGTGTGAAAGAGGGCGAGTTTGGTGGGGATGGGAGGGGAAGTTTATTTTACAATTTTGTGAGTGGTTGAGATATGAATGTGCGAACGTGTTTATTTATATTTTGTTGTTGTGTGCGTTGGTGAGTTTATTAGTGGAAGGTGTATTTTTTTTTCGTGTTTTAAAGATGAGGGTTAGATTCTTGGTGATCTGATTTGAGGGTGTTTTATTAAGTTGGTTGATGGATATGAAAGTACGGTGACTTAGAGTTAGTGCGTCTGTTTATGGGTGGAGATTGTATGCATAAATTGTATAGTTTGGGGAATTGGGTGAATAGTGTGCTGGTTTGTAAGTCGGTTGGTGAGTTGACAAGTGGGTGGGTTGGTTAAAAAATAATGTAAGTGGGTAGACATGGGAAATGATCGATAAGTCCGAATATCTGATGATAATTTGCAAGATGAAATATTTAAAAAGTGCGTTGTTGTTTGTTTTTTTGGACTGCTTTTCGGTAGATTGTACGTGTTCATATTAGTAAGATTGTTAAATGATGAAGTATCAACAATGGTCAGTTAACTAGTTTGTATCATTACGATAAAGTATGCCTAATATTATAACCCGCTAGCGTATTTTTAAATTAACATTGTCTGACTTAATGTATGAAATCGCGAGACATGGAAGTTAACCTATTCTTAAATTAAGGTCACCACTATAACATCTAAATTCATAAAAAAAACTTCTAGACAATGAATAGTTACGGCTGCCATGATACTGTCTTTATAAATGACACTACGCGAGACAAGAAAGTTAACCACTAGCTTACAAATGGCGTTGAACTCGCCGACACGGGTTGCGAGATAAATAAGATTCCAACACGCCATAGCTTTCCCATTTAACTTCTCGTCTGCCACTTTTCTTTACGCCAGCACACTTATCGCGTCAACCCCTGCTGATACCTTTTACAAAGGTAAATACATTTTCCTTTACAAAAATATCAAGCAGAAATAAATCAGGAGTTACTTCCCTTGAATTAAAATTACTTCCCCTTATCATGTATATGTAATACGATTTAAACGCTTAGTTAAAATACTTGTAGGAATATTTTTCAAAGGCTTGTTTTGTTTAAGGGTTGTAATTGGAAGATATAGGTTGCCGCGCCCTCCTAGGCGCCCCAGATTAGGGGGCGTTGGCGTCGAGCACTTTTACCGGCTGATGCAATTACTGGATGTTAAACTATCTTGACGTACGGTGTTTGGGAAATGGAAGAGCCGACATGAGCATGATAATAGCGTCATTAGAAGTTGAGGAGGGAGAAATAAAATAATTGTTTGTCGGGAACAGGATATATATATATATATATATATATATATATATATATATATATATATATATATATATATATATAATTTAGTGATTTATATGTTTATATTATAATATATAAATCTATATGTTATATACATAATATACATAATAACAATTTATTTATGCATATATATATATATATATATATATATATATATATATATATATACATATATGCATATATACATATATATATACTTAAAAATATACATAAATATATATATATATATACATATATATATAAATACATATATATACATAAATATATACATAAATATATATATATACATATATATATATATATATATAGATAGATAGATAGATATATATATATAGGGCCTATATATATACATATTTTTTTTTATTTACATATATATATATATAATGTGTAAATGTGTTGTGTGATTGTGTGTGTGTGTGAGCGTGTGTGTGTATATATGTTTCTATGCGTGTGTTTGTTGACAGCGATTTATTTTTAAGACATTTACTGAGATTTCGAAAGGGAAATGATTTTTAAAAAGTGAATTAACTGTAAAAAGCTTTCAGCATTGGCCAATACTTTATAGATTGTTGATGATAAGTAAGGGACACACGAAAAGGCTGTATGTAGTGTGATCCTAACACGTGTATATTGAAACAATTGTCAGTAAAGCGGTATCAATCACAGACCTGACTCCTGGTCGTACCCCAACCCTCCCGGGATGGTTGGGGTCGTCGGGAATCTCTGCATCGGACGGGTCGGGGGGTGGGGGGGGGTGTCTTGGGGTCGTTGTGCTGGATTGGTTTAGCAGCCTATGGGAGGCTGTGGAAAAATTGTCCCCCAGGGGGTGTACCGGAACTGTATGCTCACATCCGACAATTTGTGTGGTAACACCAGGGGACGTAATCGTGCACTAAAGGGAGGTAGCTCTAAATGTAGGTTACAGTAACTGAAGATCAATAATAAGGGGAAATAACTCTCTTTTCATCCTGCGCGACTAAAAATCACTTGTTATTTAATTCTACACTTTTGTTAGATTATCTACATCAAAGGAACATTACTCTAAATACACGATATGCAACTGTATCTATAAAGAACCTAACTTGTCTTTCAGGTTAGATAGCTTGTATCAAAGGGACATAACTATAACCTACGTACGCAAATATATCTATAAGAACATAACTCTACATTTAGAAAGCAACACACATTACCAAACACAAAATAATAGATTTTATAAATATATTTACTATAAAATAGTACTAAAGTACTAAACTTCGAAAGTAGTCGATTACTTAAAGGTCAATAGTATTAATATCAATAAGATGCCATTTTAAAACCTGATAGCCTAAAGGCCAGATTTTTAAAAAATGACTGACTACGACCTTGACTGTTAAAAGTGATGACGCAATCATCCCTATACCCAGAAGACATAGCTTTAATCATGACGAATTTAGATCTCTTTTATGAGAGTTGAATTAGGGCCGATGAAGAATCGATTCCATTCCTGGAATTAAGAACGCTTTCATTATTCATAAAATCAGATACTGGAGAGTATCTTGATGTCAGTGGCGTAGCGAGGTCGGGTGTCACTCGGTGCGGCACTTATTGGTGTCACCCCCCCCCCCCCCAGAGGCGTAGCGACCCTTCCCGGTGACAAACTTTCAAATTTTCGATTTGAACCCCCCCCCCCCTCAAACTTTTGATTTGCACCCCCCCCCCCACCCTCAAAACTTTCAATTTGCACCCCCCCCCTCAAACTTTTGATTTGCACCCTGCACCCCCCCCCCCCTCAAACTTTCTATTTGCACCCCCCCCCCTCAAACTTTCGATATTTGCACCCCACCCCCTCAAACTTTCGATATTTGCACCCCCCCCCCTCAAACTTTCAATGTGCACCCCCCCCCCCTTAAACTTTCGATTTGCACCCCCCCCCCCCCCTCAAATTTTTCTCTATAAATTTTGCTATTTTTTGCCTTGGTGTCACCCCCCCTAAATGGTGTCACCCGGTGCGGTCCGCACCCCTCGCCCCCTCCCCCCTAGCTACGCCCCTGCTTGATGTAAAATATAACTAATGCAGTGCTGTGCAGTTGTTTCTGCTGCAATAGCTTGGAGAGTATTTGCTTAAGGAGACGGATGGAGATATTTAGCTGTCTCATACTGGGACGAGAGATTGAGAAAATGTCCTCGTTGGTTTGACCATAAATTTAGTTTAGTCGTGGTGGATTGTCGGGGTAGGAAATCTGGCTTGTCATTTTTATGTTTACCAGCTGCATAAAGGATAGGGGATATGCCAGGATGGGTGATTTTTTAGCTGATGTATGCGTTTTAAAAGTGTGTGTGTATGTGTGTGATGTAGTTGGTTAACGATGTGGTTTTGTCCATGAGCGAGATTGTGGCATTCATGGTCTTAGATGTGGCATATATGTGGCGGTGATGTGGCAGTGATGTGGCAGTGATGTGGCGGTGATGTGGCAGTTATGTGGCAGTGATGTGGCAGTGATGTGGCAGTGGTGTGGCAGTTTTGTGGTAGTGATGTGGCAGTGATGTGGCAGTGATGTGGCAGTGATGTGGCAGTGGTGTGGCAGTGATGTGGTAGTGATGTGGCAGTGATGTGGCAGTGATGTGGCAGTGATGTGGCAGTGATGTGGCAGTGGTGTGGCAGTGATGTGGTAGTGATGTGGTAGTGATGTGGCAGTGATGTAGCAGTGATGTGGCAGTGATGTGGCAGTGATGTAGCAGTGATGTGGCAGTGATGTAGCAGTGATTTGGCAGTGGTGTGGCAGTGATGTGGCAGTGATGTGGCAGTGATGTGGCAGTGATGTGGCAGTGATGTGGCAGTGGTGTGGCAGTGATGTGGTAGTGATGTGGTAGTGATGTGGCAGTGATGTGGCAGTGATTTGGCAGTGATGTAGCAGTGAAATGGTATTAAAGTCCCAGTGATCTGTGTGGTGTTTTTGTTAGTAAATATTCACTTGAGCATAAAATTTAGGAAATAGTGGTCAATGAGTATCAGGGAAGAGTGGGGGGGAGTCATTGAGTATCAGGGAAGAGTGGGGGAGTCACTGAGTATCAGGGAAGAGTGGGGGGAGGGGAGTCACTGAGTATCAGGGAAGAGTGGGGGGGGGGAGTCAATGAGTCTCAGGGAAGAGTGGGGGTGGAGTCACTAAGTATCAGGGAAGAGTGGGGGGAGTCACAGAGTATCAGGGAAGAGTGGGGGGAGTCAATGAGTATCAGGGAAGAGTGGGGGGAGTCATTGAGTATCAGGGAAGAGTGGGGGAGTCACTGAGTATCAGGGAAGAGTGGGGGAGGGGAGTCACTGAGTATCAGGGAAGAGTGGGGGGGAGTCAATGAGTCTCAGGGAAGAGTGGGGGTGGAGTCACTAAGTATCAGGGAAGAGTGGGGGGAGTCACAGAGTATCAGGGAAGAGTGGGGGGGAGTCACTAAGTATCAGGGAAGAGTGGGGGGAGTCACTGAGTATCAGGGAAGAGTGGGGGGAGTCATTGAGTATCAGGGAAGAGTGGGGGAGTCACTGAGTATCAGGGAAGAGTGGGGGGAGTCACAGAGTATCAGGGAAGAGTGGGGGGAGTCACTGTGTATCAGGGAAGAGTGGGGGGGTCACTGGGTATCAGGGAAGAGTGGGGGAGTCACTGAGTATCAGGGAAGAGTGGGGGAGTCACTGAGTATCAGGGAAGAGTGGGGGGGGAGTCACTAAGTATCAGGGAAGAGTGGGGGGGAGTCACTAAGTATCAGGGAAGAGTGGGGGGGGAGTCACTAAATATCAGGGTAGAGTTGATATGCTAGTATTCTTTGTGAAGAGTTGAGTTGCAGAAAGGAGAAGGAGTAGATGAGGCACTATCAAATGCTAATGACAAGTTTAGTCCGATGGAATCCTTGATGTTACACTGATGCCAAGTCGATTTCCCCTTCACTTCTAAACAATCGTTTTTTGAACCTAGGCTTTTCTTAACAAAGAAAATTTAATACGTACTTTTCCGTAGTATAAGGTATCGGTTAGATAAAGTTGTCTTTAAGAGTATCACTAGCCTAACCATGATCGGACCGATACTGTATGTAATCTACTGTTTACCTCAGTATGATAACTATGTATAAAATGTCTTACTCGGAAATCGCTAATATAGTGCTAACACAGTACACGGTACTCAGTAGGCCTACAATCTATTTATTCACACAGCTCTTACTTATTACGTGTGCTTACACATTACATGATTCTTTGAGACAGCACTCAAAAACACTGTTACAACATGCACGTTTATAAATCGACAAACGGGCGAATAAGCTCTACACGTTTTGATGGCTCCCATAGCGGAAAAATTATTCTCCAATTCGTTAGATTGTACTGCGGGTTACTAGACGCAGTAAAATATTTATTGCGAGCTGGGTAATGCCTTGTTAGTTGATACGCAACCTCGCGAGACAACTTAGACAAAGATCTCTGACGTTAGGAAAACTGGGACGGAAGTGGGTCAGATCATAACTAGGTCGATTTATTTATATCTGGGATTGGGGAACTGGGCGAATTTATGGCCTCGGTGGTCGAGTATTAGTTGAAATATAAGGGTTCAAATTCAATTCGGGTTGTTATTGAATTTTTTATCACTTATATATTGTTAAGAACAAAGAGATGCAGGCATCAAAATATGGAAGACCTCTAAGATATGTGAGGAGGAGGAGGTTGGGATTGAAGTCAGGAGCTCTTACTAGATGTCTACTACAAAATATACAATCTTCTGTTTCATATTATATATATATATATATATATATATATATATATATATATATATATATATATATATATATATATATAACATATATAAACATATATAAGAAATATATATATATATATATATATATATCAAAAAGCATAAGGGAAGCACCCACCCAAGGTTTAATTTAGAATAGATGACAGCTAAATCAATTAGATCGAGCAGTACATTTCTGCTGACGTATATGTCGGTGAATTCAGCATGAAAAGCATGTAATAAGTAGCTACTATCAAGTCTGGTGAAACCAACCCAAAGACGTTAATCTGTAAAATAGTTCCTGGGAGTGTTTTTAGTGTATCCATTCATTTGAGTTAACATATCCTTCGTCTGTTTGTTGATGTTTAGTTTGACCCACAGGATTGACTACAGTATATAATAGCAATTTATATATATATATATATATATATATATATATATATATATATATATATATATATATATATATATATATGTATATATATATATATATATATATATATGTATATATATATATATATATATGTATATATATATATATATATATATATATATATATATATATATATATATGTATATGTATATATGTATATATATATATGTATATATATATATATATATATATATATATATATATATATATATATATATATATATATATATATATATATGTATATGTATATATATATATATATATATATATATATATATATATATATATATATATATATATATATATATATATATATATAATATAATTTTACATTATTGTTAAATAGGTTTAGACATTTTACAATATTGGAATTAAACTATTGCTAGTTACCTCCCATTTATTTTTTCCAAATACTTAAGGGAGGCAACTCATTCTAACGTTTTCAAAAAAATAGAAATAGCAAGAGTTTCAGTAAACACTCATATATATTATTTATAAAAGCCCTATGTACTAGAAATTTAAATTTTATATGATTACTAGTGTATTTGTAATACGGGTTGACCACCAAAATTATTATCTGATTCCAGTAAAAATAGAAAAGCATTAGCTGTCTTATATATGTAATATGTAGACTAAGCAATGCTGATTTGATTTCACCAATCATAGCTAATTTTATCACAGGATCTTTAATTGATTCTTTAAACAATTCGATTTACCGAGAGATCCGATGACAAAAATGCAACGAAGAATAAACTTACAGTTGAAATTAAAAACAAATTATGTGCAATAAATGTTTGTTTAGTTTTTTCTATCATTAAGTTTCTTTCCTATGTTTAGATCTATCTTCGGCTTTCTCATTCCTTAACTCTAGTACATATTCTGTCAGACACTAATTTTAAATTGTCTACATTGTTTAGTAATATTTCACGATTTACTTATTAGTATTAATAATGTAATTTTTGTGTGTAATTAGTACAATAAGGAGCATTAGTTACTTTAAATGCAAAGTCAACATGTGAAACAACGGAATATATTTTTTTTCAAACTATTGGAGTCAATAACAAATCTGAGGCAAAAATGCAAAAAAGAGCTGAACTGCTAACCCGTAAGTCTCAAGTTCGAATCCGGGTTCAAGTCAGTGGGTCGTCCCTGAGTCCACCCAACTCGATGGGTACCTAACTCACGTTAGGGAAAGTAAAGGCGGCTGGGCATAGTGCTGACTACACTATCTCTTCATATGCCGAGGTCACAGAAACAAGTAAAAACTGATAATTATCTGGTAAACATCTGATAAGTCGAAGTTTAAACTTTAAAAAAAAAATGATATTTTGTACAATAATCAATAAAAGTTAAACTAACGAAGCCGATGTCAAAAGTGCAAAAAAGAATAAACTTTTAATCCAATTAGACAAGCCGGAACACAGCATCAGTCAACCAATTACACAAGTCAGATACAGCAACAGTCGACAAATTACACAAGTCAGATACAGCAACAGTCAACAAATTACACAGCAACAGTCAACAAATTACACACGTCAGATACAGCAACAGTCAACCAATTACAACAGTCAACCAATTACACAGCAACAGTCAACCAATTACACAAACAAGATACAGCAACAGTCAACCAATTACACAAGTCAGATACAGCAACAGTCAACAAATTACACAGCAACAGTCAACCAATTACACAGCCACAGTCAACCAATTACACAGCAACAGTCAACCAATTACAACAGTCAACAAATTACACAGCAACAGTCAACCAATTACAACAGTCAACCAATTACACAAGCCAGCAACAGTAAACCAATTAAACAGCAATAGTCAACAAATTACAACAGTCAACCAATTACACAGCAACAGTCAACCAATTACACAGCCACAGTCAACCAATTACACAGCAACAGTCAACAAATTACAACAGTCAACCAATTACACAGCAACAGTCAACCAATTACACAGCAACAGTCAACAAATTACAACAGTCAACCAATTACACAGCAACAGTCAACAAATTACAACAGTCAACCAATTACACAGCAACAGTCAACCAATTACACAGCAACAGTCAACCAATTACACAGCAACAGTCAACAAATTACAACAGTCAACCAATTACACAGCAACAGTCAACCAATTACAGAAGCCATAGACCAGAAAAGCTGATGTTTACAGCCTTCACTAACAGAGTGCCAGTCACCTTTAGCGGTCACTTAATCACTGATAGTCCAAAGCACGGACCTCCACGATTGGTCAGTTGGAGCAAGGATGGACTAGCAAGTGGGTCATTTGTTCCAGACCATTGGAGACAGCGAAATTCCATGCAAGTAGAGCTCATGACTGCTAACTCAAAAGTCTACAGTTCGGATCCCTGTCCCTGAGTCAACCCACCTCTTTTATTTTTACATGACCATCTTTGCTTTCTCCCCTCCCCGCCCATCCCCGTTGACATCAAGCATACAGATTTGCATTAAGATCCTCTACCATTGATAATATTGTAACAACATTGTAACATTTACATATTGTTACACATATCCAACTTGTTGTGTACAAAAATAAACCGTAAACTTATAAACAACCACACTTTTTAAAAGAAAATACAGAATTCTATAAATAGCAACATCGTATTTTCTTGAACTTTAAAAATTAGAGAAGGGTTTGGGCCCTGTTGCTCAGAAGGAACAAAGAGCCATTGATTTCTTGAAACATTTCCGGCGTCTCCTTTGTTTGGCCTCGCCTGAGTTATCGCTCTTCATCCGCTGTAAGGTGTGTTCCTTCCCCTACTTAACAGCTTTCAAAGGTGACAATTTTAAATTTAATTGTAGAGAGAACAACAATATGGCTATGTATGGTATCGATATTTTAATTTAAATTATAGAAACTTTGAAAGGCGACAATTTTAAATTTAATTGTAGAAAGTACAACAATAACGCTATGTATGGTAGAGATATTTTAATTCTAAATTATACGAACTTTGAAAGGCGACAATTTTACATTTAATTGTCGAAAGAACAACGATAAACTATATATAGTAGCTATATTTTTATTTTAAATGATGTGAACTTAAACGAGAGATCATAGTTATTTAACGAGAATTGTCGGGATTTGTTTGTGTTGGAATTTTAGTTCTTTGGATGCGGTTGAGCTTAGTCAGCTGAAACGAGTACCTATTTCGACTCAAGAAAAATTAAAGACAGCTTTCTTTTTGCTGAGCATACAATCATTTGAAATGCGAATCGAAAATAGTGTGAATTATTGTACAGTTGATCAGCTCTATGGGTGGTACATTCGTAAAACTTAAGCTTTAAATTGACAAATAATAATTCTGTCAGATACGTCGGTAGTTCGAGATTTTTTTGTGGACAGGGTAGGTTTAGGACAGTGGGGAAATCTGTTGTCAAAAGGTAGGTTTAGGACAGTGGGGAAATCTGTTGTCAAAAGGTAGGTTTAGGACAGTGGGGAAATCTGTTGTCAAAAGGTAGGTTTAGGACAGTGGGGAAATCTGTTGTCAAAAGGTAGGTTTAGGACAGTGGGGAAATCTGTTGTCAAAAGGTAGGTTTAGGACAGTGGGGAAATCTGTTGTCAAAAGGTAGGTTTAGGACAGTGGGGAAATCTGTTGTCAAAAGGTAGGTTTAGGACAGTGGGGAAATCTGTTGTCAAAAGGTAGGTTTAGGACAGTGGGGAAATCTGTTGTCAAAAGGTAGGTTTAGGACAGTGGGGAAATCTGTTGTCAAAAGGTAGGTTTAGGACAGTGGGGAAATCTGTTGTCAAAAGGTAGGTTTAGGACAGTGGGGAAATCTGTTGTCAAAAGGTAGGTTTAGGACAGTGGGGAAATCTGTTGTCAAAAGGTAGGTTTAGGACAGTGGGGAAATCTGTTGTCAAAAGGTAGGTTTAGGACAGTGGGGAAATCTGTTGTCAAAAGGTAGGTTTAGGACAGTGGGGAAATCTGTTGTCAAAAGGTAGGTTTAGGACAGTGGGGAAATCTGTTGTCAAAAGGTAGGTTTAGGACAGTGGGGAAATCTGTTGTCAAAAGGTAGGTTTAGGACAGTGGGGAAATCTGTTGTCAAAAGGTAGGTTTAGGACAGTGGGGAAATCTGTTGTCAAAAGGTAGGTTTAGGACATTGGGGAAATCTGTTGTCAAAAGGTAGGTTTATGACAGTGTGGAAATCTGTTGTCAAAAGGTAGGTTTAGGATAGTGGGGAAATCTGTTGTCAAAAGGTAGGTTTAGGACATTGGGGAAATCTGTTGTCAAAAGGTAGGTTTATGACAGTGTGGAAATCTGTTGTCAAAAGGTAGGTTTAGGATAGTGGGGAAATCTGTTGTCAAAAGGTAGGTTTAGGACAGTGGGGAAATATGTTGTCGAGGGATGGTAAGGGAGGCAAGGGTTTAGAAAGCTGTAAACAGAAGTAGGGTAACGGCGTGGCCTAGCTGTATAAAGCTAGGCTGCTAACCCGAAAGTTTCTAGTTCGAATCCGGGATCAAGTCGATAGAGCGTCCCAGAGTGCACACATCTCTAATGGGTACCTAAATCACGTTACGTAAAGCATAGTGCTGACCACACTATTCCTTTATATCCCGAGGTCCCTGAAAGAGATGAAGACTACTTCATCTGCCCCATGTAACTTGGGCAAGAACCAGAAAAGAAGATGAAAGAGAAGGAAGACAAAAGCGTGAGCCTTAGATATGATGGAGCATAGCTGGGGTGGAGAAGACGGAGGTGGTTTTTTAAAAAGTAACACAAATAGATAAAGATGTAAGGTCACTTGTAGATGTTACAAAGTTGTCGCAGCATCCAATCTTTGAATTTTGTCTCGGTATTCAACTTTGAAATTGGACCACTTATCTTAGTTTGGCTACTAGCCTAAAGGTTACGAGTTCGGGTCTCGGTTCGGAATTGAGACTGTAGCAAGACCCTGAGTCCATCCAGCTCTAATGGGTACCTAGCTCACGTTGGGGAAGTAATGTCAGCTTGGCAAAGTGATAAACACACCATCCTGTCAAGAAATATATGACCTCTTCATCTTTGCAATAGATCGCGATGTCTAAAGAGGAACTTTGCGTGTACTTATCCTAGTTCGTTGATGAGCATATCAACAACTGGGCACCTGTTGTCACATTGTATTTGTTACTTGTTATTTGATTTAACAATTTAATCATCGGTATCCTTATAACAGGTGTATTGATCCATCTTGTTTTAGACTACCAGTCGGGTTGGGCACCAGAAGTACAAGTCATTATTATCATTGGAAACATTTTCATGCTAAGGGCCTTGTCCTAATGAGACTTTAAGCTGTTGGAGCTGTTTACGGTGGAATTAACTGTAGATTACGTCAATTAATGACGGATTTAAAACAATTCTTAACCAGCCTGCGGCCTAATGTAAAATGTGTCCTT